GGTGTGTGGGAACCAAGGGGCAGAGCCAGGTCTAAGGGCTGATGTCCCCAAGGGGGTCCATCCCTCCAGGTAGCCATCCAGGGCTGGGCCATCCTGGGAACTTTGGAGAAGGAATTTATACTCTGGGCAGCGCTGACTTTTGGGGAAGCTTGCTTTCCAAACTTCAAATTTGATCATATCTCTCTGTTGCTTGGCAACTTCCTCTGGATCCCCATGGTCTCCAAACAGACCAAAAGATCTCCTTACCATGGGGTAGATTCGTGTCCCAGTCTGACACAGGCTTGGCCCCTCTGACTTTCCACCCTGACCCTATTGGAGAGCTGGGACACTACTGTGTCCACCATACCCGCTGGGGATCTGCATCTCTAGGCAATTGCCACTTCTGGGTTATAGTTACTTGTCCACAGACTGTGACCCCCTCGAGGGCAGGGCTGGTTCCCTCACCTTCATCCTGGGTAGATGTTGCCAAGTATGAACTGTGGATGGGACTAGACAATGGCTGACCACCTTTTAACTCTAAGATCCTACTATTTTGTTGGTTTATTTATTCATTTTTGAGACAGGGTCTCAAGTAGCTTAGATTGTCCTTGAACTCCCTAAATAGCTGAAACTAGCTTTGAATTCCTAGTTATCCTACCTATGATCCTATTCCCAAGTGCTGCGATTACAGCTGTGCCCCACTATGATTGGCTTTATATTTTAATGTGTGTATGTGTGCTGAAGCAAGTGTGTGCATATATGAAGGCCATATTTGTTTATTTATTTTGAGGCATGGCCTCTTTCAACATGAGGCCATGCTGTTTGACTAGGCTGACTAGGCTTATGTCCTTGGGATAAGTGCTCCTCCTGTCTGTATCTCTCTAGCATACAGCTTCTACATGGACACTGGGGATCTGAACTCTGGTCTTCGGGTTTGTACAACAAGAAGTTCACTCACTAGACCATAGCCACACTCCATGTTTATTCATTTTTTTGATGCAAGGTCTTGCTTTGCTGCCCTCAAATTTATAGGTTCAAGCAATTTTCAAGCGTCAGCTCCGACTAGTTGGGACAACCATGCAACTGCTTCTTAATATACTCTTAAAAACTTATTTATTTACTCTCTGTGTGTGTGTATTCATGTGTGCTGCTAGTCATGGATGAGGAATGGGAAGTTGCAGATAACAGGATAATGATACCCACTGAGATGCCTGGGAGCCAGGCATGGAGCCTGGAGAACCAACATGGAGTGAGGAAGGAGGAAAACCGGGGGCGTGTCTGTCTAGTGAAGGACAGATTCTTCAGCTCTGATCTCATGGCAGTGCTGTGATGTCATGGTGGAAATGAACTGTGATTCTTGCCCTCAGGATAGGGAATAAACAGCCCTATCCCAGTTCCTATTCTGGCAATCTCCTGCACCTGTGACAGGTACCCAGCCTTTGTTGTCCCTGCCTCCTTCCTTCAGCATCTCAGTTGTAGTAGATATCACACAAGTCGGAGTCCACTCATGGCTCCTTGATGGCTGAGGAAAAGTCACTGGAATGCAGTGGCAGCTGCCTTCTTTTGTGGCAATTCTTCTGGTTTCTGACTTCACACCCACAACTGGGTGTGTGACACCAGCTAACACCACTGTACAGGGACACATTAGATAGAGTCTGGAACCTCACACAGGCTAAGCACATGCTCTACCTCTGAGCCACATCTATACACACACACACACACACACACACACACACTTTTCTTGCTGAACCTTCTTGCTCCTCACTTGGATTTAAACACAGAAGCCAAAGGAACAAAAGGCAGAGCAACAAAAGCTCAGAAGAGCAGGTCAGCTCAGGTTTCCCATGGCTGGGGAAAGGGTTGTGGAGGTCTGGTTTCTTGAGGAACTGCTCATAGTAAAAACAAAGTCAAAGGATGCTGGGCCATGGTCAGTGGAGGTGTGAGGCAAGGGCTTCACTCTTGACCATAGTTACTTTTCTTCCTATTTTTATTAACAGGCATCCCTAAGTATGTTTGTGCCTAGAGAAAATGCTATGAATAACCGATGATGCATGTGTTGATTAACTTGTGAATCATGCTGGGGGGGGGCGGTGCAGGAGCTTTAGCGATGAATATAATGTGTTGTAAAATATTTAGCAAATGATCATCCAAGCCACAGGGAAAAATCCAAGAGATGGGAATTTGAAAGCTGCCAGGATTTAAAAGCTATTTAACGCTAAGCATTGGTGCCAAAGAGTTGAGAGCATCCCTCTCCCCATTCCATTGGCAACAGAGCTTGAAAATGTGGAAAGGGCTTGGCTGGGCCGTGGAGCGCTGGTGGGAACCGCGATCAGGCAGAGAGCTGAAAGGCTTTTTGTTTGAAACCTTGTAAACAAGGGATCTCCTCCCAGGTCCCTCTGAGAGCCCCACCTTGCCTGTGGCTTGCACATTTTCTCTTGCCATCTCCCGGATAAACTCCCAATGTGGTGCCAACATAGTGAAGACACCCGACAGTCATCTGGATGTTTCAAAATCCCCGGATGCTCCGCATCAAGGCAGTAAGAAACCGCCATATGGCCGAGTAAATTTGTCACCTTCCATCCAAATGTTTGGATGTCACTCAGACTCTGCCTTGGCTCTGGTTCCAATGTGGCTTAACTCTATCTGTCATTTTAAAGGTTTGGACTCTGAGGATGTCTATCCGAGGGGCATAGGGATTGTATATTTTTAGGGCTGGAGTCAAGACTCACTTTCATAATCATCTCACTCTTTGGAGATGCACTTCTTTCCAAGAGGATGGAAAGATCTTTCTTGATGTTTTGGCTCCACAGCCCCTAACTTTAAAGTTGTAACCTCCTGGGTAGAAACACCACATGCTAAGGTAAATGAAGGGATAAGTTGGGGCATTGGAACAGGCCTGAAGAACAGAGGCCTCATGGTCATTCAGTCACAGAGCATGCTTCAAAGAGTCAATGTGCATCTGATGGCTTTAACCAATCCAGAAGCCTCTACTGCTAGGAATGATTTATACTTTGCTTGCTGGCATTTGTTGCAACCATGATGGATCAAGAGCCCTTGAATTCAGTAAAGGATCTCTGGGGAAATGGCCCAGCATTCCTGCTGCCTAGGGCCAGGTGGCAGCAAGGCCCTCCTCTCTTCTGCTCTGTTGTTCTTGCTATTTTGCTTCCCTGTAAGGTCTTTTGTTGTTTTTCTTGCAGATTCTTAATTCAGGACCATCCTTGAGGTCTGCCTCCGAGTCCATAGGTCCCACTCTGATTTTTCAACCTTCATGAATCTTCACTTTTCTGAAAACTATTTTCTAGCACATGACCAAGCGTCCTGACCATTCATCCAGCACATAATTACCTGCATTATGACGTATTAAGAAAGGGTCACACTTTTCTTTTCAGTGCAATGGTGGACTCATTTTGGCAGACTCCCAACTCTTTAAAGTCTTAAAAATATTCATTTACCTACTTATTTCTTTGTGTGTGTGGGTCAAAAGACAATTTGTGAACCGATTCTTGAATTGCTCCCTTTCAAAGCAGGGATTTCTTGTTTCTGTTGCTACGAATATTCTAGCTAACTGGCCTGAGAGCTTCCAGGACATTCTCTTGTCTTTATCCCCTTCTCATCACACTGAGTACTGGGATTGCAGAAGCCACCAATGACTTTTTATATGAGTTCCATGATTGGAAATAAGGTGCTCAGGCCTACAGGACTAGCACTTTTACTTACTGAGGCATCTGCCCCTCATCTTTTTAAGATTAAAAACTATTTTACTTATGGGTATGTATATGTGATGTGTGTATAGATGTCCAAAGAAAGCTGTGGAATAATCCTTTTGTATACTGTGAAGCTGTGTTGCTCTTACTGTTAATAAAAAGCTGATTGGCTGATGGGCAGGCAGGACTTTTGGGGCACAGATAATGCTGGGGAAAAGGGCAGAGTCAGAAGAGACATCATGAGATGTAGAGAGGGCAGGATGGGAAGTACAAAGATAAGGTAAATGAGCCTCAGGGAAGCACAGAGATGACTAGGAATGGGTTAAGTTGTAAGAGTTAGCTAAAAACAAGCCTAAGCTATTGGCTAAGCATTTATAATTAATGTAAAGTCTCTGTGTGGTTATTTGGCAGCTGGCAAGATGGAAAAGTCCGATATCAGATATCCTGGAGCTGGGAGTTATAGGTGGTTGTGAACCATCTGATGTGGGTGCTGGAAAGTGGATAGGGAAGCCAGTACTCTTAACTACTGAGTCATCACTGCAACCATTCCCTCCCTTTGTTTAGGCTGGCCTTAAACCTGATAAATAGGCCATGTTGAAAGGTAACCTTGGACTCCTGATCCTACTACTTCCATTTCCTGAGTGCTACAATTACAGGTATCTTCCACAACTGTTTTTGCAGTGGTAGGGATCAAACACAGAGCTATCTGTTTGCTAGGCAAGATACATCCCTACCCCACATAGTGCTAACTCTTAAATCGGGTGGTCTTGGAAGCTTCAAGCTGTGTTGAGATGACACATTGGTGTCCCATTAGTAGGCAATACAATTAAACTTTATGCCATCTCATAAAAACTTGAACACCCACAGGGTTTGGTACCTTCAGGAGACCTGGAACCAGACTCCATGGTTATGGAGGGATGGCAATATGTTAAACAGGTTGCTGGTGATGAGGACCTGAGCTCAACCCTCGATAAGAAAGCTAGGTGGTGGTGTGCTGGGGAATTGGAAACAGAAGGCTTCTCAGGCCTCATTGACCAATAGTATAGTCTTATATGTTGGTTTCAGGACAATGAAAGACTCCCCTCTCAAAGTAGTAGATGATGTTCTTGAGCATGGTACCTAAGCTGCCTCTAGGCCTCCACACATATGCACAGCATCTGCACACACATAAACACAAACACAAGCACAAGCACAAGCACACACATATGTCAAAGAATGACCAAGAAAGAAAGGAGGAAAGAAATAAAATGTGGAAATCTGCCCCCAAATATGTGATAGTAGAATGGGAGACATGCATTCAATCTTTACTATAAACAATTTCATAATGTGGTAATTTTTAATATTAAAAGTAAATTGTAAATGTATCTTTATAAACAATATGCATAAAATAGATCATGTTCTAAAACTTTTTGTTTTTAAAATGCTTTTTCACAGTAAATTTCTTAATTGTCAGATTATCCCCCTCCAGATAATAGTGCAACTGAAAGAGGGAGCACATCAGCGGGGAGGGGGGAGAGGGGGAGGGTAGGAGGGCAGGAGGGAGGGGGCTTTTCTGCTAATATAAATCCTTGTAGATCTCCTGGAGCAGGGGGTGAAGGCTCATGTCCGTCTCCGTCTTCTTGATCACATGCAATAGCTGCACATGCTCTGTGACGATCTGCCTGAGGTCTGTCATCTTCTGGAGCACTTTGGCAAACAGCTGTGAGGACTCAGGGTGGTTCAGCTTAAGCTGGAGTTCCAGGGCCTGCAGCAGGTTGTCTTGAATGTCCTCAATGGGCTTCACGTTCAGCAAACCTGGACGGTCTGGGAGAAATGAAGAAAACACAAAAGGAGGCTTAGTCAAAGGTTCTCAGGGCCCACTCTAAGGCCTGGGCAGCCTGAGGCTAAAGCACTTTCCAGTCAGCACTAACTGTGTGATGATGTAACACCATCCTCAACTCAAGACTCTTCTGCCAGCATGCTTCTCTTCTCAGAGATCACATTTCCAACTTTTGCTCCTCCTGGATGAATCTTTTTACAGCTTCTACCTACATTCTCATAACAGCTTCAAATAAAGTTTTCAAGTGTAAGTTTTGCTGTTTTTGTGTGGCCTGGTACAGCACATTTCCAGCAAGGAATGATAGTAAAATAAATTCGCTTCAGTGTAGCTGGTGTTTCTTCTGAGGGATGAGGTTGCAGGTGTTTTTCATCCATTCTTAACATTTTTTTCTCTTTGTTTCCTTTCTACCTTTCCAGTTTGTTTTGAGGCAAAGTCTCACTGAATTGCGTAGGCAGGCCCCAAACTCCTGGGCTCTCTCAGACTTCTTGGCTCAGCCTCCCAGTTTACATACAGGAGTGCAGTCAATCCTGTACTTGGTAGGATACCCTTGTATCAGCCTTACCTAACAAGCAAGCAAATGTTGCTAATTGCCACAAGTGTGACATTTACTGTAGATTGTGGTGAATATGTTTTACTTTTGGTTTCCAAGAATTTTAAAGTTTTAAATTTGTTTTAGACAGGAATGTTGGTTAAATTTTATTGAAGGCTTTTAAAATTTTCTATTTGAAGAGATATCATATCCGAAAAGATATGATTTTATCTTAACCTAGTATAATGGATTACATTAATAGATTTCCTTATGTCCTTGTACTCATTTGTTAAAATCTTATTCCAGGCTTTGTAATAACTGTGGGTGATATGGCTGGGAGTGTTATCATTTGAGCCATCCATTGTTTGGGCAGTAACTGTGAACCAGCCTTATGAGTGGAGTTCTGTTTTCCTTTAGTTTTGACCTGCTTCTTTGTGGTTTCTTGGAATTCGTTTGAAGAGCCTTCTGGCCCTAATGATAAATCCTTTACTACCTAGGCTCTCTACAACGCGTATAAAGTAAAACAAGTAAATTCTTTTAGAATGGAGCTGTACATGATATTCTTTTATAATCTGAAATCTACTTTTGTTATATAGTGTTAAAAGTTTCTATTAGACTAAGTTAATTGTACATATAGTGAGTGGGTTTCATTATGACATTCCCCATATATGTACTCTGACCATATTCTTTCCTGTTACCCTTTATGGTCCTATCCCCACTCTTGGTGAACCCTTCCTCTTCCCAACCGGTCCCTCTTCTATTTTCTTTTTTATGAACTAATGAAATCTACTCTTTTTATACTTCTTAGCTTCTGTGTATTTCCTCATTTTGAAATCTTACTTTTAAAAGACTTACCCATTTTCTTTAAGAACTTTATTGTGTGTGTGTGTGTGTGTGTGTGTGTGTTTCTTCATATATATGTGCACACCTTGTGCATGCCTGTGCCTTTGGAGGTCAGAAGAAGGCATCAGATGCCAATGCTTATGAACCACTGGTCAGTGCCGGGGACTGAATCTGAGCTCTCTGCAAGAACAGTCATGCTCTAAACCATGGAGTCATTTATCCAGTCCCCTCTTATTGTCTCATTAAAATACAGCCTTTAGTTTTATTAATCAACTTTAAATTATATTTTTGTTTCAACATTTAATTCCCTTTTTAAAATAAATTTATTCATCTCTTTTTTTTTTCTCCTTTCCTAATTTCTTGATCTGAATGCTTTATTCTTTTAGTTTTGGGATTTCTCGATCTCTAATGAACTCAGTAAGACTGTAAATTTCCCTCCCAGTGTCACTTTGCTTCCATCCCACGGGCCTTCAGGAACAGACTCTCATTGTTCTGTTAAAACAGCCTATCTTATAATGTTGGCTTCAGCCTATAATCTAAGAGCTATATAGGACTGTTTTAAATTTTGTCTCTGTCTCTCTCTCTCTCTCTCCAGGGTCTCTGCATGTGGTTCTGGCTAGCCTAGAACTCACTATGTAAACTATGCTGGTCTTGAACACACAAAAGATCTGCCTGCCTCTGCTTCTTTAGTGCTGGGATTAAAGGTGTGGGCTACCACACCCACTGCTTTAGAAGTTCTGAGTCAGGGTCTGGGTTTTGGTTGTTGTATTCTAAGTCCACTGCATTTGTTAGAATGTAAGGGTTTTCTCCTTAAGACCAACTGAAAAGAGGATTCATTTACTGCATTTAGGACACACCCCAGCATCTTATATTGACTTCAAAGTTTAGCTCTGTAGGCTGCTCACTCTGTAAAATACTATGGCTTTTCCTTCACTGTAAGTTTACTCACATCTTTATATCTGTCTCATCAGCAGCTGTCCCTATCCCTCAGCCTCAGTTTCTCCAGTTATCCTTCTGCTCCAGTTACATTAAGGTACTTCTATTTCAAATTCCTCAAATATCCAGATACATCAAACTGTCTGTAGAGTCTCTCAGTGCCTTCTGCCTGAAGCCTCTTCACTTCACAGTGACTTCAGCTGCTTCTTCAGATGGAGCCCCAGTAGGATGGAGTACTTCTCCCCATCCCTTCTCTCTTGTCCTCATCTTTTGCTCTGGGCCCCATAGTACCTTACGACCACTCTGATCTCTACATTTGAGGTATGTTTACTGAATGGCTACATTTTTCAGGATTGTGCATATCTGATCCAAACACTATACACTTAAGTCCTTTCCTTGTATTGTCAGCACTGTCCTGTGGCCAGGATGTCCTGGTGTCTCTGAGCCACCAGTGGATGGATGCCCAGTAAGCCCTCAGCTGGCCAAGTTAATGAGCAAGTGGTTGTTCTGGCCCAAAGTCCCAGATGGAAGAGTACAATTTTAGTTGGTGAACAAGCCTGAAGGCAGAATCACTACACAGTGAGGACGTCTACCATGAATGGTGTTTTGTTTTGCCATATCTAATAAACTTTCATAACCTTTAATCCACTGAGGTAAGGCTCAGGAAAACAGTGTGGTCTCTGGGTGGGACTTTGAGAACATTCTCTCAATATTACTTCTTTTTCATTATAGAAAGAAACATGTCTTTGGTTTGACTTTCTTCTTCTCTAACATGTCCTATCAATTGGATTAAATACCATTTCCTTTGAAATTCCAGCATTAAATGTGAGACCATGGGAATAATAACAGTGAAAAGTCTCAGACTCTGAGAATGGAAAAAATGATTTAGTTCTGGCCCAGAGAATCCACCCCTGGAAGTGCTGTGTCTTTCTCAGTTGTGACACCACAATGGGATCACTTGGTCCAGTGAGGTGGCTCAGCAGGTACAGCTCTTGTTGCTGTGCAACTCCAATGCCCTGAGTTTGATCCCTAGGAGGATGGACTCCATTGTCTTCCTCTGTGTATCATGTCCTCTGACCTCTATGTGTGTGCGTGGATGCTCACATACACGAAGAAGAAATAAAAGCATTTCAAAAGTTAAGAAGCCACTGAGGCTTCAGGAAAAGCCAGACTCTGGATTGGGGCTCGGATGTAATGACTGCCGATCCCTCTCCCCAACAATTTCTGAGTTTTGAAAGCCTGAGACTGTGTGAATGGCATAGCTGAGTGGCAGTGTCCCAGGGCCACACAGCCTATTCTGGAGCTTCTGCTCCTGGATCCTCTCTCCTTTCTCCTTCTTTTTGAGTAGCATCAGTGGGGACAAAGCTGTTGAAGAGATCATATGAATGAGAATAGGGTCTCTATCAAACAACAAGACCCTACTGGGCAAAGGATGGGCTGGAATCTTGCTCAGGAAGTGAAATGTGACTGGCCGCTCTAGGAGTGGGGAAGGATCTGGTTTGGATTTTCCAACTCTTCTTTGGCAAGTTACTGTTTATGATGTGATGGATGATGTTTGGCTGAAGGGCTGAAATGCTGTGGCCACAGATTAAATATATTTTCTCCAGTGACAAGTTAGATCATCTACAGCTCAGCCTGGCTGTCCCCTGCACAAACCTCTGTCAAGGGAACAGACAGTTTGGGCAAGGAGGCCACAGAGTAGATAGGGCCACATTCTCCAGTTTTGTCTTTCACCAGCTCCATGACCTTGGGTCTGACTGATTAAATTTGTTGGGCTCAGTTCCCTCCTCTGTATACTCTATCAATGATCTCTAAATCCTTAATTCCAAAGTTCTAAGATGCATTCTTATCTGTAATTCCCTCTAGTACACAAATTCACATAATTCAACTAGGGAAATAAGAATTGAATTAGAAAAGTGTATTCATAAGCTTGCATATTAAACTTAGAACTGGCTTATTTAAAAACAAAACCAGAATGAAAGCCAGCCTCTTTTGGTCTCAGGTCAAGGGCAAAAGGGATCTATCAATTGCTCCTCTGCTTCTGCTCTCCCATGGGCTTTGGGACATTCTCTGCTCTCCTCTCCGTTCCTCTTTCACCTTCCTCCCCACATTTCCTGGGCCCTTCACTGAGTTGATACTGTACCATAGACTAACCCCCAGAGTCATCCTTGCCTTTCCGTCTACTCGCTGGGGTCCAGAGCCTGTTGGGACATTTCCTGAAGGGCTATCTGAGGTCCTTATACCTTGCTGAGGTGAGAGGCGTGTCTGGAGGAGGCTGTTCAGGGTCAAGGGCTCTCTGTTGGCTAGGGTTGCCCAGAAGGCCCTTTGGGGAAGCCCTGTTGACTCACACACTCCAGGAGGCTGGAGTCAATTATTACATCCTTATTCCCTGGGCTGCAAAGAATTGGGAAAGAACCTTTCCGGTATTCATTCACAGTCCTGGGATTGATTAGAGAGCAACTGATTTGGGCAAATCTACAAAGCTTCCATCTTATCCAGATCTGATTCTGATCTAAAGTAGACTCAATGCTTGGTGCTGCTAGGACCCACCCACCTGAGCTGGAGGCTCAGTTGTGCCCATCTGGTTCCTTGAAGGACAGGCGAGATAACAAAGTCCAGTCTTCCTGTCTGGTCTCTGGGAGATGCTGGGTTGGTTTGAAATGGACGGTACTTAGG